GATAACAACCTCAGCTAACGTTTTGTTAAAACTATTTGTTTGGTCCCATGGAACTAGATGGGCTGAGTTAGACGGGCCAATGCTAGTATAACCGGCGTACAGTGTAAACAAAACGATTCATCAAGAACGACATCAGACCCGTAGCTCCTTCTCTATGCTAAAGACGAGCCGGTGGGGGGGGGGGGGGGGGAAGGACAAGCAAAAAAAAAAAAAAAAAAAAACCCCCATGCTAACATTCTATTAAGTCAAATGACTTGGTAATTATGAGTTTGGTGTCTATAAATAACTAGAAAAAAAAGTTATGATTGCGGTAGCTCTACTCGGAAGCCCGCCATCAAATCGATAACGGTAGAGCCTCACTCCCTGTTTTCAGGGGGAGACGAGCGCGGCGCCCCGGAGAAAAAAAGATCCAGTGGGTAATTCCACGGGGACGCCGCTTCCCATCCACCCACGGTGGAATGTGATTGGAAGTCTTCATGCTGCCGGTCCGGCCAGACAGATCTGGACGTTACCGGACTATATTCTTACGGTCACGGCTCCTCTTTCTCTCTGCTTCCCCCTCCCTCTCTCCCCCCTCTCTCGCCCGGACAGTGTCTATAGAATTTCATACAGTCTCTCCGTTTCCTATAATGACAGGTTTTTTTTTCTTCTCTGGACACACCGGCCTTATTCTAAACACACGATCTTTCACTATCTTAAACTTTAAGAGGCAGATGGTTTTAGTTGTTTTTTTGTGTCAGCACAAAAACAGAAATCTTTACTTTCATTTAAAAACCGCAAGTTTCCATTACAAATACATTTTTTCTAGAAACAGCTGAATAAAAGGTGTAGAGGAATTACGACAATTTTCCCCTCATGAGATAGATATTTAAGATATCACTTTAAAAAAAAAAACAACGATGTAAATGTCTACAAAAACAAGATTTAAACAGCGATATCTTGACCTCACTGTACGAACTCTCTGAAACACTGGTTTACAGTTCCTTGTCCGTAGTACGCTGTGGTTACATATCTTTGTTGCTAGTAGACATTGGACAAAGTTCTCTTCCTTAATGACAAGGCGATTCTTAGAGTGGCAATATATCTTTATCATAACGGCACGAAATGATTTTCCAGAATGTAAAGATACTCATTATTGTTGTACAAAATGGTTCAATTCTTCAATTCTTGTCTAAAGTTTTAAGGTCCCCATGACCCTTGTCCAAAATATTCCGATTCTTCTCCAGATAAAAAAAAAATACAATTGATTTTTCTCCAAAATGTTCAAATTCTTGTCCTAAATTTTAAGTTTGTCATGATTATTCTCGTGTAGTAAGCAAAGATCGTCATAATTATTGTCCAAAATGTTCCATCTCTTGTCCAGTAAGCAAAGATCGTCATAATTATTGTCCAAAATGTTCCAAAGCTTGTCCTGAATGTAAATTTCCTCAGGACTAGTGTTGAAAATATTCCATCTCTTGTCTAGTAAGCAAAGAGCGTCATAACTATTGTCCAAAATTTTCCAAAGCTTGTCCTGAATGTAAATATCGTCACGACTAGTGTCCAAAATGTTCCATCTCTTGTCTAGTTAGCTTAGAGCGTCATAATTATTGTCCAAAATGTTCCAAAGCTTGTCCTGAATGTAAAAATCCTCACGACTAGTGTCCAAAATGTTCCTATCCTTGTCTAGTTAGCATAGAGCGTCATAATTATTGTCCA